GATTATCAGAAGTTTAATCATGGACGAAATGCTATTTTCGAAAAGTATTTATGAAATTATAACAAGATCTAATAAAAATTTAACATTATCGAATTTGTTCAGATATGATTAGTATCTCATTATATTAGAATCTAGTATTTTTTTAATGTGTTAAATGAGACTTTTATTTGAAAATATTTCATAATAGACCTTTTTGAGTAAATTTTAAAATAGTATACCTTATTTGATTGTTTTGAAAGGTTGGAACCTTATTTCCAAATAATTCCCTTTTATTCAACCCATGGATCAACATGTTAAACGTCTAAATCTTATTTCAGAGTAGTGGTGTAAATGAGTCGAGCTTGAACGAATAATATTATATTCGTGTTTGTTTGTTTGTTTATTTTTTAAGGTGTTCATGTTCAAATCGTGTCCACTTAAGTTTTTAGTACAGTGTTCGTGTTCGTTTATTTATTTTTGAACGTGTAAGTCTTCAATTAGACTCTTTCATTTTTAGGAGAGATGATAATTAAGATATAATTTTGTAACTAAAATTATTTCATAAATTTAAAATGTAAATATGATATAGAATTAAGATATAATTACACTTTATCAATTAAACATATTTAGGGGTTTAATTTTTTTAAAAATACAGATGAATGTAATTATTAGAGCAATAATTACATTTTCATGTAGCTATATTATGGTGTCCAAATATGCCCTATTTTTTTTTTATTTAAAAAAAAAGCAATGCCTAAAATATCTATATCCATTCCTCCTATAAATCAAAATATAACATAGGCTAAAACACATCCATGGGTTTTTACACATTGCAATAATTAAAGTTCAGATAATTTTATTTTTATAAAAAAATATATAAAAATGAAAATTTCGCCATGATTTCAAAAAGAATCATGGTAGCAATTATTTCATCGTCTACTTTGGCACCAACGATACGGACCTAACCTTCAACGATGGCTTACACAATTATAAATGTCATTAGTTTAACTTAATAATAGTTTATTGTTGAATAATTTGTCCAAAAAAGTTTGCTTCAGATCTAAACAAATTCTTGGTGGCAATGTTGCTAAGATTTTTCATGTCCCACGTTCACCCGATTCTATTCAACCCAACTTTGATGTTGATGGGTCATGGGTTCGACTTTCGAGAACCAACACCTGGAAGAATGATTGAACGTCTATTATTAAATGATTGAAAATATTTAAAATAAATAGTACTTTGTAATCAACTTAATACATAAAAAAGTAAAATCATACTTTCCTATTAAAAGAAAGTAAAATCATACTTCCAAATGTAAGATTTATCGAAACGGTATAAGAAGAAATGATTAGGATCTAATTACAAAACGAAAAAGCTAATACATTTTTTTTAAATTATTAGGCTAATTGAGTTAATGGCTGAGATTAAAATTTTTAAATTGAATATATTTTTTTCGTAAAAATATCTTCATTTTCTACTATGAATCACAATCATTTGTTTTCACTCATCAAACGATTTAAAAAAATTATAAAAATCGTATCAGTGAATCTTACCACTAATCAAGCTCATTTATATACAAGTGTGGCATGTGACACACCATATAGCCCCAGAATGTGGGGGGTGGGGGGGGGGCAGGCACTTTGTTTCTTAGAGTGTTTGAACGATGACATCTCTTAAATAAAATGTACAATTATAAAGTTGTTCTATGACATTATTTTAGTTTCATATGTCTGAAAATTTTATTTTGTAACAAATAAATGTAATATGATACATTTTGACATTTTAATAATTTATTTTCTTATAAAATAACACATTTCCTACACATCTTTTTGAAATGAACATGCCTCTTTCTATTATAAATCTTGTAACGTTTTGTACAAAAAAATTATTCAAACCATCGTTTAATTAAATTATTACAGCTTTATAGTACCATTAAAATTCGTTAAAGCTGATAGAAAAAACTTATTAATAATGGATAGATTTATTATTTTAATGATTAAGTGATATTAATTATTCAGTGTTCAGATTTTATTTCATGAAAAAATTTATATTAAGAAATTGATAATTCTGTCGTCTCATTAAATAAGTAATATATGCAGTCCAATTATTCAAAATAACTAATATCGGTTCGTCGATCGGAGGTCGGACGGCGAGTAGATCGGAGTTGAAAGGAGAGTTGTTGGAGAGGGAAACTGAAATTTTTTTCCAGAAACATGCGGGAGCAAACTGCGACCGCACAGGGCCCCCAAAATATGGGGCCCCAAAAAAGTATATATATAGTGACGTTTTTTCAATAAACGCCACTATAGATGGACATATTGCGACGTTTTTTTTCAAAAAAAGCCACTATTATTGCGCAGGCCCCAAAAAAATCTTAAAAAAATATATATATAGTGGCGTTTTTCTAATAAACACCACTATGGATGGATCTATTGCGATTTTTAAAAAAAAACGCCATTATTGTTGCTCCAAAATCGAATATATCTAAAAAATAAGGCCCTTTATAAGAATTTGTACAGGCCCCCGAAAATCTAGTCACGGCCCTGGGAATAGGGATTTATAATTCAACTCATAATAAAATTGGTTAAACCATGAGTTTAGTCACCAAACTTTATGCACTTTATAAAATGGTCTGCCAACTTTGAAATCTTACAATTTAATCTATCGTTTCTTCCTAAACTACCAATTAAATCTAATACTTTATAATTTCTTAATTTTAGCCACAAAATTAGGGTGTCACATAAATAAAATAAAACGATTGCCTAATTGATGTGATCCAATACGCAGCACTCTATAAAATACATATATGGGAGCTATGCCACCTGGCTGGGACCATCAACTCCTAGATTGACGAATTCAAGGTTTTCTTCCATTATATATAAATGCAGGGAGACTCCTTCGAACCTTCTGAAGAAATGGACACAGATTTGTCTTTCTTTCTGCAGGCTATTTCATTGCACTTGTCAAAATGGAATGAAGTAATTTTTAATCTTATTTCTTTAAAATATATATATTTTGTATAATACGAATATCTTTGTCAAAACTTGAGTAAATAACACCATTCGAAATATATTGTTAAATTCACACGCAATATATGATTTCTACGTTAATATTTTCTTTGTTTTAAAACATCCTGTTAATTAATTGAACATAATCTTTTAACGAAATAAGTAATTAAATTTAAGTTTCTAAATACGAAAATAAGAGGGATATATTTTTTTAAAAGCAAAAATAAAAGAAATAAATTTCAAATATATAAAGCACATAAAGACTTAAAATATATTTTAATGAATATGGTTGGATTTTTAGTCGTGGTTATAGGGGAAAACAGACTTTTATAACTGGAATTAATTAATGCGCTTCAAATACCAATCCCCACGCACTTGACTTGACAACTAGAAGGTGAAGCACCGAAGCTTGGTTTAATCAGTTAGTTGATTCATATGTAAAGGATATGAATTATTAGAAGAATTGAAAACTAGTATTCAATTCAATCAGTTAATTTAATCGAACTCTTCTCAATGTACATTATATTCTCCTATAATTGGGATTAAGGGCATAATTTGAACATTGGATTAAGGGATTAATGTTTATTTTTTTAGATCAAGTATTGGGATATTAATTTTTTTTATATCAACGGAAAAAAAGTGGACATAAGATAAATATAAGTGATCAATCATATAGTTAACCTTTTTTAAAATTATTTAGTAAAAAAAAATTTGAACTGATGAAGAATTTATCTATTCTGAACGAATATAAAAATATTCTTAGATGTCAATTATCCGAATTACTAATATGGACTCAAAATCAGATATTTGACTCTAGCTTTAGATTACAAAATGAATAATATGTTTTTGCTTTTAAAGAGATTCAGATCTTGATCATTGGCACGAATGAGAAAGAGTTTGACCCACGTAGCCTTTGTGAGTGTTAACAAAAATAGGTGGATGGGTGTAGTTGGATAGTAAAGGTCCCACCTAATTATCCCCTAATACCACTAAGACCTAACTTCCTGTTCGGGGCTGGGTGCACCCACCATTAGCACCCACGGCCGAAAAACGGCTATGCCAAAGCCAAGATGATGCGTCACTCTCTCTGCTTAATTCCACTCTGTGCCCAAAGCTCAGACCCCTTTTCTACTTTTCCTTTCAGTCCTCCACTCTCCACCATTAATATGATAGCCCCTCATCCATGTTTTCTCCACTCGATCACGTTCTCATTGGCCCCCACTTTTACTCAGGACGGTGCACAATGTACAATTACATACTTATACAATTAAATATTAATAAGATTACCGTAGAATTTGGCAATGTGAAGCCATAAAGCTAATTGAGTGATAAAAGGGAATTGTCATCTTCTTAAAAATTATGGGTTTAAGCAATAAAGTTTATAGGGTACATATGTATTGTTTATAGGATAAGAAAATTCTAAATAAATAATCCCCTTGTTTACTCCCTAATGATGAACATTTGAACCGAACTATACCTAAATGTTTCATTCATTTGTAATGATAGCTACTTCCATTTATCTAACTCATAAGTATTTTCCCTTTCAAAACAATTATAATAATGCTTACATTGAAAATGAATTAATTTCTATTTATTTATCTTTTTCACTTCCCCGTTGGACCAAATACCACTGCATAATAAAAATAAAAATAGAAATCAGTCCAAATAATTATAATTAAAATAAACTATTATAATAGATAATTAGCCCAATAAAGGCTCGGATACAAAATCGTAAAATTACGAGTCCGGTACGGTTGAGGATTATAACCGATGAAAAGAGCAAAGACAAAAGGAAAAGGATATTAGAAACAGCTTACTCGATGATCTATAAGGTAATTATAACTGTACAGTAACAAAATATATAGATTTTTTTTAATTTTTTTCCAGAAAAAAAATAATATAATTTACGAATCACAAAAACTGAGGAAATGCAATGGCAAAACCGTAGTTTTAATCAATACTCAAGTTTTCACTCACAATCACTGTGGTCAAATGTCAACGATTTAACGCTGCTCAACGGTTATGATTGGCTCTGCCAAAATCAGCGAGCTTCCTGGACCTGTTCGCGCGGAACCCTGCGGCGGTCGCTAGGTGTGGCTTCCACGTCGACGGTCGAGATTCTCCGGGGAACGACATGTCCGGTGGCAATCCGCCCTTCTGGTTCCAGTGCCTGTTAGGACTCGCCCATACGAGTGGACTCATGCAAAACGCTAATCCCGACACGTTCCTCGTCCCTGACCTCGATCTCCTTGCAGTCGTCGGCGTCCGTTTCCATCGCGGAGATACCTCCGGCGATCCTCCCGATGGCGGTCGATCGCACTCGTCTCCCGAATCCACTTCGATGGCCGGGGACATTCCGCGATCTAGGACTCTGCTTGATCTACGATCTCCGGGGCCGAATTGGTCAAATTCTGCCACGCGGGACGCCTTCGATGATTGCTGCTTTTTCCAACGAACGGCGAAGATTGTTGCGAACCAAGACGGCGATGCCGATGCCGAGGGCGGCTCGTCGCACGAGTCCCTATGGGGATCCGAATTGAACTTCTCGGATCTTGACCTGAACAGATTCGAAAAAAGCGAGAACCGGTTCTTCTTCTTGAACGATCTAGTAGATTCAAAAATAGGTGGTGGATGTGGCGCTATTGTAAGTGGGGCCCACTTGAGGGGTGCTGTAGAACCGTTGATGTTGTATCCACGTGGCACTATTATCGTCGGATTTCCTCCGACTGACGTAAGGAGAAACGGACCGAGGGAAAATCAGCGGCGGCGGGTCGGACATCCGGCAATCATCAGCGACGGCACGGGCCAATAGAGCCTTTTGAGCTTCTGCCTGTGCCTGGGCCTGGGCGGCGATGAGCTCCAGAAGACGCTCCCGGACACAAGTGGAGCAAACGCCGACGCTGCTACTCAGGTCGGCAAGATGTTTCTTACACCTCATTTACTTCAAAATTAACAAAAACTCTGGGTTTTGCTTCTGAAAATTCTGGGTGAAGCTGCGTGCATATATATATATATGTATATATATATATATAACTGTGAAAAAGTATTACGTGGTTAAATGATTTGAACTTTGAATGTTGAATAAAGATTAAAGAGAATATTTGTTTTTAAGAAAAAGAGATGAGTGGGTGTTGTGTTGCTGTAAAACAAAGGGAGATCTGATGAAGAAATCAAAGGGGAAGGTTTGTATTGTTTCTGAGGTTAAGGGGGGAAATGGAGATGAGAGAGAAAGACAAGAGTACTTGATCTTCATGTCTCTTTTGATTTTCATGTTATAAAAACACAATAGAGAAAGAAAGGTTTGGATGTTTTTTTAAAAATATAAAAATAAGTTTTTAAATTATATATTTTTTATTTAAGTGTTTAAATTATTATTTTTATTATTTTATGTGTTTAATGTTTCTAATTCTATATTTTTAAGTAATTGAATTGTTATTTCGTTAAATATCATGTGTCGCATTTATAAAATTTTAAAAATTTATACATTTTAGAAAATAAATTTTTTAAAATTACACAACGTAACAAATGTCACGTGACGACAAAATTTAATGTTCATTAGGATAAGACACATAAATAGTAATGTTAAAAGCATTAAGCACATGAACGGATAAAAAAAAATTAAAGACTTAAATAAATAAATAAGGTATCAATTAGATTTCTGTTAATTTTTTTGTTGTCACGTGCTTCAATTAATTATTTACATGTAACCTTTTCATTTATTTATTTTTGACCAAATACTCTAAGCTTCGGGTTTATTTAGAAAAATAAAATAAAAATTAACAAAATCTTAAGAAAAATAATTAGAAAATATGTAGTTTTGAATAATGATCGTTAAAATTATTTAAAATTATTTTTTATAATACAAAAATGTAATTTCTCATAATCGTAAGACCAAATCGTAAATAAATTATGAACGATTTGAATTTATAGAATTAAAATAGAAAAATAGAGATTAACAATGATAAAGATAAAAAATGAAAGAATAGTAAAAAATAATGGGAAAATGTATGTGTTTATGTGTCAAAAATCAATATATATTCTAGGTCATTGGCATCAAAATCGTTGCCAATTAACGATGAATTTAAGGTATCAAATGTATTTCCTTAATCAGTTTGTCTAGATCCCTATTATTCTTTTCCCTAAATAAGCCTAAACGTCAATTGTACATTTTTAGAAAATGTATAAATGATTTCTTATTTTTTTTAATGGTAACACTAATAAATAATATTTTTTTCATAATAGTTAATTTTTTTCATGCACATATTAATTTTACGAATAATACGTAAAACTGGATGAATAATAAAAATTATGTTATATTAATCAATCAATTATCTGTTAAATAATAAAAAATTGAAAATAATTTGTTTAGTAACAAACAAAACTTAATTTGTTTTCTTGTTTAAATTTAGTAGGAAAGGAGACAAAGGGAGGGTCAAAGACGGCCCAATATTCAAAAAGAGGCCACATACCACAGTATAAACACAGTCCAGATATGAAGGAGGGTTTTTTTTTTAAAATAAAATTGAGGTTTAATAAAAAAAAATATTTAAATTATATTTAAAATTGACTTTTGATGTCTAATTTTTTTGGGTTAAAATTAAATACATAATGTTTTCTCAGCTACACTTTTAAGTGAAAACATTTAAAAAAATTCGTTAAGTGATCTATGTCCCGTTTATATTTTTATTTTTAAAAATAAAATATTATTTAGAAATATTTTTTAAAAGTAAAAAAATTAACGTGACATGTGTTACTTAACGGTTTGTTTAATGATAAACACCTAAAAGTGTATCGGAGAAAATATTATACACCTATTTTTAACGAAAAATCTTTAGGCATCAAAAGTTAATTTTGAGTATAGTTTAAACATTTATTTTTATATTAAGCCTAAAATTAATATATTATTTTTTGACAAAAAGGCATTAGGTGTCCTACTTAAAAAATCAATGTGACTGTCATATTATTTTTTCTTTCAATGTGGTCCTCCAACTCAGAAAACAAATTCATTATGGCTCTTTGACCAACATTTTTTTTACTGAGTATTACGGTGTTGATGTAACAATCCACTGTGAACTGTCAAATCAACACCGTAACGATCAACGACGAAAATTTTTGGTCAAATAACTACATTGGATATGTTTTTATGAGTTGGAGGATCATATTAAGAAAAAAATACTATTGTTTCTTTTAAGAACATAGACCTCTAATATATTTTTTCATTATTTATTAAATAAAAATAGTGCATACATTTATATGGTTTATCATATCATTATATATTCAATAACATTTTATATTATATTTTTCTGTATTAGGTGCAACTTTATCACTAGCTAATCCAAAATTTTAAAAACATGTATATATGAATATAATTATATAGTTTAGAGTGATTATAATATAATATTTGTTCATAATTTTATAATTATTAACAATTAATAATGTATATACACTACAGACGTAATTACTCAAATTTAATACCTTTGGAAAAAAATAATACTCCATTTAACTATCAAGATCACTTGTTAAGATCGTCACGAATAGAGGTGAGATTCATATGATTTTCTCCACCCCACCACTGGAAGTGATCGATCTAGTCCAACAAGAAGCTGCAGATTGCACGTTAACAGTAGATGACTAATCCGATGTAGTTTATCTCTTTTATTCACCAAAAAAAAATAAATCCAATTATTAATTTAGACATTAAATCTTAATTCAAGTTTGTCCTAAAACATATTTAAAATATAAGAAAATTTAAATTCGTCTATATCACTACTGACGTATTAAAAACTAACATCATTAAAATTTATAAGAATTATCCTTTATTTTTTTATAGCATGTTAGAATTAAATTATAAGTCAATTAATAAGGTTTATTTATATATTTTATGTTAGATTTAATATAATATTTAGTATTTAAACAGTAATAAATTTATAAAATAATTTGTTTGATTTATATAATATTGATGTTTTAAACTTGATTAAATTCTACTAAAATTTAAACTTTAACTGAAAATTTAAACTACAATTTTAAAATGACTAACACAATTAACTTTAAAAATGGGTTGGGGACAAAGTTGAGTGTTGTCCAGCGTGGGCAGGCAAGGCAACTCACACGCGTGCTTTGCAGTTTCTAAAGTCATTGCACGCGTTGCAGTTAGTGGTGTGCAAAATTACCCGATCGGTTGACCCGGCCCACCAACCCGAATCTAAAAAAATCGGGTAATTCTCTAAAAAAATTACCCGGCCGTGTCGGGTACCCGGCCCGATATTTCCCGGATCAGGCCCACAAAATCTAGTTTTTCCGGGTACCCGGTTACTCGGGTACCCAGTTACTCGGGTACCCGGTAACCCGTGTACCCGGTTAGTTTTTATTTTTTTTATTTTTTATATAAAATTATATAAAATAATAATTATTTATATTATGAATTATTATATTTTGAATTTTGAACTTTTAAATTTTATGTTCGGATATTAAAGTATGTAATTCGAAGTTTCGAACATTTAAATTTGTGTATATATTTTTTTAAATTAATAATTTGAAAATAAAAAATTAAAAACCGGGTATCGAATATCCGATTACCGGGTACCCGCAAAATCCAGATATCAGATTACCGGGTACCCGTAACATCCGGGTCGGGATACGGACCGATAAATCGTCGACCCGGATTTGCACAGCCCTAGTTGCAGTAGAAGAATGGGAGGGTAAGTTCTTTTCCGCTCATTATTAATTTATTATTATTTTATCATCACTAATTTTAAAAAGCCAATCATATTATTTTGGAGAATACAAGTAGATGAGATGCCCTAAAACGGGCTAAGAGAGATGTCATTTGACTCAAAATGTCTCGCAACAATGGCTTAAACTGTGTTTCAAATGACCCTACAGGAAGAAAATGGACATGAATACAAAACAAAATAATGTTCTAAATTACGGTTTCTGGAAGACGTGCGTGGTATGTTTCTAAATGCATTATGCATAGAAAAGAAACTAAAAACAACTGATGATTTTCTTTTGCATGAAAGTGGAATTTCAAGTTATTTTAATCGGTGATTTTATCTCAAAAAAAAATCATCTTAAAAATAATTAAATATCAAAATAATGTCCTTTCCTTAATATTTGTCGATCTAATATCCATTCGTATTACGTGACAGTAAAACAAGTTCTACAAAATCGCTTTACACAAGTGACATCTTATTCAACAAAGACGTATTCTACAGAAAGTGCCTTATGCTTATGTGGCAAAGGCGATTTTTACACAACGTGCCTTTGTTAGATTTTTAAACCTCTAAAATTTACATTAAATATAGCCTTAAATAGTATTAAATATATGGAATTTAATTTGAATATAACATTAAATATCTAAAATTTAATCCAAATATAACTTTAACATCGATGAAGAACATGAGAATGAAGATGAAGAGCAATCAATACGAAGAAATCTTGTTCGAAAGAGACAACCACCATCCCGTGAAACGCATTCACGAAAAAGACATTGTTAGTTTATATATTATTTTATTTTTTTGAACTTTTATAGTAATTTAGGATATTTAAAAGATATATTTTAATTAAATTTTGGTTATTTAATATTATAATTAATGCTATATTTAATCTAAATTTTGGATGTTTAAATATCCTACAAAAGTGTGTTATGTATAAAGAGTACTCTTCCAGGTGGAATGTCACATAAGTATAAGACGTTTTCTATAGGACACACCTTTACTGAATGAGATATCACCTATGTAAAGCGTTTTGTAAAACGTGCCTCATTACGGTTTTTATAACCTTTTTTTATAATTTTTTAGAAAAATGACCACCCAACTAGCATTATATGAAAAAATAACTCTCAAATGACTCACGTAATAATACCTTACGTTCTGTAAAAAGTGAAGTTATACCTCGCGTTTTGCAGAAAGTATGATAAGACCTCGCGTTCTGCATAAAGCTATATATTCATATCATACATGGCCATTTGTGGTCATTTTTCTAAACAATTCTAGATGGAGGTTATTTTTATAATAAATTAACAAAAAGGCCCTCATTGCCGCGTAGTGCGAATAGGTACTAAATCGATAAATATCGGAGAAAATGTGGTATTCTGGCATCTAATTATTTTTAAGATAACTTTTTAGGCAAAATTTTCATTTTAATTCGCTCTAGTCCAACATGTCAGTGATTAGAAATATATAATATCTATAACTTTTCTCATCGATGCGATCACATCATGCACCTTTTGAGGTTAGGTATTATTTACATTGGCTTTGTGAATAAGATAAGGTTTTTGTTTGGTGAATCATTGATGCATTACATTGAGAAAAAAATAAGAAAATAATACAAGCAGTGAGCTTCATCCTTTATAAGTTCAGCAGATTCAATGAATTCAATAATAATAAAAAAGTTCATATGATCCATAATTTAATCACAGTTGAAAGTTGAGAGAATTACTGTTTAACGACGTGCATGGAATTCAGTGTTTTGTTCGAGAGCCTTTGGAACTCATCAACCACGACAAAGCAAAAACAAAAGAAGTCTGAGAACGGTCAGAGAAGGAAGAAAACATAAATAAAATCGAAGAGAAAGCAAACAGGGCATGTAATGATAAGAGAGAACGTATATTGTAGTACATTTGTTCTTCTTTTGTGGGGAAGAAGTATTAGATTAATATTACGACTTTATCTTGTTTGAAAACTAATAAAGTATATATTAAATTTTACAAGACTTATGATATGAGTGAACGACAGGTTTTTACAACCTTCAATATATAAATATATATGTATTCCTTTCATGATAATTATATTTAATTTTATTATAAAATCATAATATTTCATTCTTGTTTTCACCGATTACATTTATTTTATCTTTATTTTTGTATTTTTTTAATTGTATTTTTTTAAATTGATACAATGTTATCGATTATTTTGATTTATTATAACAATCTTTTATCATAAAACTTTAATTTGAAACTCGGACTCATATTTTAGATTTTTAACATTCATAAGAATATTATATTAAGTGTTCTAGATGTTATATTTATGAGATTAGAATCTTTTAACTTATATATATTTATATATCGTTAAATATTTTTAAATTTTAAAAACTTTTAAAAAACCTGGTCGCTTTGTTCTTTCTACTCTCTTTTCTCCTTTTTTTTCTTCTTTTTTATAACTTATGTCAATTTTATTAATCAATTCAACTTATTTTTCTCTAATTTTGTTTAATTGGCGGCATCATCGACTTTAATACTAGTTGTCGCCCTCCTGTTGGCTTTTCTCTTTTTCTTTTTTTTTAGTTTTTAATAAGAATAATTATATCTTTGTGACATATTCTTTTCATTTATGACACGTTTATCTATGTCTTTGTGACACATTTTTCTTTGACTTTTGGTAGTTTACGGTTTTTTGACGTTATTTTAGTTTTTTCTTCTTCTCTAGGTTGGATTTGACATTGCCACGACTGATCAAGATGACGCTTATTTGTTATCATGTTGATCATCCCTGCTTTGGACCCTCGAATTGATTTGGATACACGTTTGTGTTCGTGGATAGTTTTCTCACGTTAATAAAAATATACAATAATAAATGCAATTAAAATTTCAGTTTCAATTTGAAAGCAAAATTTGTTCCTTGAAGTAACAATTTAGAGGAATGTAATTAATTTAGATACTAATATATATATATATATATTTTAAAATTATATAATTACTTTAATTATGATTAAAATTCTATATTCACATGCACCTTATATATAAAAGGGAGAAGTACATAAATGGCCCTGGACTATAAAATAATGTTTTGATGAGTTTCCAAATATTAAAATTTATAAAATGATCATCTAACTATATGACATTGTTTTCTTGAGCTCTTTGACTATTAAAAGTTACAAAATGATCATTCGACTATTTATATGTTCCAAACTCATTTTTTTTAAAAGAAAATTTACGAGTTTGAAATATATGAATAATATGGTGACTATTTTATAACTTTTAATTGTCGAGAGACTTAATAAAACAACGTCCTATAATCATAGAACCGTTTTATAACTTTTAATAATCGATCAACTCAACAAAATAATATCCTATAATAAGTGGACCATTTGTCTACTTTACCTTGTATAAAATTAGATATTATTAGACTATTGGGGGAAAAAAGGAGTTCGGACCCACCCAAATTGGGGCAAAACTTTACCGTTGAAAAAAGGAGATCCCAAAATACGAAGAAGCTCTTGGGATCGGATGATGAGATGAGGCTGCTCACAACAACATTCCGAGCGGTGAAATCACCAAATCAAAATATAAACCCTAATCCAAACCCTAAACCTAGGTCCTTAAAACCACCGTTGTCGCTAGAATCGAGCGCCGTTGCGAAATCCAAATCAAAAGAAAAGGCGTGGTGCGTTTACCTAATTCTTTCCACCAATGCTCCCATTAAAACCTACGTCGGCGTCACCAACAATTTCTCCCGCCGGTACGATCTTCATTTTCTCATTTCCCAATTTTATTAAGCTTTAGCGTCAAATTGTACCTCAAATCCTTATTCGTGTCTCCTTTTTAGTTTTGGGGTCTAATCTTGATTGATTGTTTTTTTAACTGTCTAATCGATTAAATTTGTGGAAATTGTTTATTTGATCAAGTTAACAGAATGTTTATTCCCCCTTGCAAATTTACAATTCACTTTACATTAGTTAATCTTTTGAAAACTTGCGAGCTTCTTTGTTGATTGTTGCGACAAGTTGCACTTCCTTAAAATTGACCCTGCTTTGGGAGTCTTCTTCTTTTCCATAGGAAAAATAATTCAAAATAACTAAATATTGAGCTTTGATATTTCAGTTTGAAACAACATAATGGTGAACTTAGTGGTGGTGCTAAAGCATCTCGTGCTGGAAGGCCATGGGTCTGCGCTTGCTTAATTCGGGGTTTCAATGACCAAAGTGAAGGTATTTTTGCTCGATACTTTTATCTTATTTAGCTATTTATCGATTAAAAGCACTCTTCAAGTCCTTGTATCATAAGATCATGGAGCGTAGTGCATTTTCTTAGTGCTTCTAAAATGAGTAAAGCTTATACATTCGAAAGGAGAAAAAAAGGTTTCAGTATATTAGTAAAATATGCAAAATGATCATTTTTATAACCCGCTAGGAAAACTATTAAATTTGTAAGATGGACTTAGTTAAATAACGTGATATTAATTTAAAATGTGAAGTAACCTGTTAAGCTCGACCCATTGTAGCTTAAAATAATTGAAGCATTGCAGAGCTTTTAAGCTTCAATGGGTTGGATGAACATCCCACATCATTTAAAAATGACAGTTAATAAAATTAGCATCTGTTTTGTTCCCAATTGCTACAAAAATGATCATTTTGTGTGCTAGTTTTAAAAGTACATGAACTAAAATAGACTCTGTGCAATAGTATAAGGACTTGTAAGGTGCTTTTACCGAGTATTTATATCTATGAAATTTGCTAATATGATTCATGCGTTAATAGTCAAGTGTATAACATTGTTGATGTTTCCCTTTTCTTTATTTTAGCTTCTGAGTTTGAATCCAAATGGAAAATGATGTCAAGGAAACTGCCTCGCAAAAGGAAGAACAAGGAGGCCGATGATTGCTCCCTAACGTTATTGCAACACAGGGAGACAGCCCTAAATAAGGTTAGTGGTTCATTGGATTGCAGTCTCTTGGAAATTGAGTGGCAAATGAGCACTTCCTGATTTAATACCAACCATTCTTACATAACCTTTCATTATAAAAAAAAATGCATTCTTGAATGTTGTATGATTGGATTATGGAATACTTATTGTAATATATGCTATGATTTGTAATCATTGTTCAAAGGGAAAGCCTAAAGTTATTGCGATGATTATCTGAATAGTTCATTTTTTCCCTTGTATTATTTTGACTGCGTGGATAATCTAGTTTGAGAGAGCTCACAAATCAGTTGTGGTTAAAGGCTCTGTTATTACACTGTTCAATACAAGAAGTGGGTGTTTAAAAGTAAAACCTGGTAGTATGATCATATTTTGTCTTTTTGGCCCCTCAATTTTATTAATTTAGTCAATTTATCCGTAACAATTTTATTGCATTCCTTTTAACTGAAATTTTATTTTTATTTTTTTGTTAAATTGATTCGAAAGTGTCGGAACAATAACAACTCCATTAAGATGACATCAGGTATTATCTTTTTCTACACGCCCTCTTTTTTTTATTTGAAAAAGTAGCTATTTGTTTTTATTGAATGTTGATATTAGTTCTTTTTTTTAAAAAAAATTAATATTGTTTTTACTTTTTTGACATGATAGAAAAAGATAAATAATTATCAATATTTTTTTATAATAAGACAAAATAACTGCTATCTGTTTAACGATCCGTTATTGTAATGTTACATTTGGGTTAGTTAAAAAATAGAAGTTTGAGGATCAAAATGAACACAATTCAAATTTAAAAGTAACTAAACTGATAAAATTGAGGATGTAAAAGTTTTTGGATAAATTATACGAATAGTCCCTTTTATTTTCGATCTGATCGACTTTGATCACCGCTTTAAAGATTAAGTGTGTTTGGCCCTTGCGTAATTGATCCGTTCGGTCTAAGTTCCTCAGACTTTAACTTCTGTTAACCCTTTAGCGAAAATATTATGTGGTAATTAAAAAATAAATAAAAAATTCCACGTAAATATTTCATGGAATTTGAAATATTAAAAAAGATGCACGTAAACACCAACTGATCGATTCTCTTGTTTCTTCCTTCTTTTTATCTTCTCTTAATTTTCACTCTATAAAGTCGTATGGATCTGTGGGTTAAATTGCCAAAATACTATGGGTACAGGAGAGAAAACCCATTGTTCTCTTCAACTCTTCTCGATTCCAGCTACCGTTCGATTGGTAAACCCGATAGAGGTGAAGCAAAAGAAGATATGATTTTCTACAGAGAGGCTAGCATGGCGAACAAGCTCAACAACAATTGTTCGTTGAAGGATGATGAAATGACGAGCCTCCAACATGCTTGCATGATCGAAAAATGGATGGAAAAGAAGTGTGAAGATAATAAAGTTTTCATTAGAAAAAAACCCAGTGCTGTTGAACTCTAGTTCCAGCTCTTCCAATTCCAGTTCCGGTGGCGAGTTTTCATCCTTCGAGTCTGATTCCTTTTACGGTGCAAAATCAAGGTCATCGTCTTCAGCGTCAAGTAATTACACCTCTCATAGGCGGCCTAAGCCTATTCGGACCGGCGTCTTAGCTCGGCAGCCTGAAGTCGAAAGCAGTTTCCATGGCGCTACCCAGCAAAAGCGGAATCATGAATTGGTGGTTTCGTGAGGACAAATCCAAGGCCTTGAAGATTTACAGTGACCTCAAAAAGGTTAAGCAGTCGATATATCCTGGTGGTAAACGATGTAAGCTGTTCAGCTCCTTACTATCTCTCACCTCTTTTGCAGCCCTCCCAAAATTACTCTCTGCATCCGCAAGCTACTTTCCAACACAGATTCATGTTCCATGTAATACCCATCAAACAACCACTTATTTTTTATGTTCCAAAGAATCCACCAGATTATCGCAAATAATATTCTTTAATTACAACTTTGTCATGTGGACTTCTCATAGTTAATGGGATTCGTTAGGAACCAGTCCTTCATATTACTATTGAGGAATACTCGAAGTTGTGCTGGCTGGACAACTTGGTTCTATACCTTTTTGGCCTCACAATAAGACCACAAAACATGGCTTGTACCTATAGCTCATTTCTTACAACACTCATCTACATCAAGATGTCTCCTTACGCATTCTTTGTTTGTCAGTTGTCGGTTTTGTACATCGAGCCATAGAAACACTCGGATTTGCTTGCCCGATAAACAGACTCGGTTGGGAAAGTCGTCTTCTCCTCCCATCGCCAACATAGTACGTCACTGCCCAACTTATCCTGTGGGGGAGGGTGTCGTAACGTTTTTTCTACAACACCTGCAGCAGGTAAGACTAATCACAGGTTCTTCCAATTCCATTGGCCATAAGTCGTGACCCAATTCTTGACCGGTGTTGGACTTGAAACATCTAAACCAGTGTAATATTAATATATGCAAAACGGGCTCTCATTGTCCACCCACATAACATACCAAAAATTTGTGTACTCGCCATTCCGAATGCTCCAATAACTCTAACATAATCTTAGACGTTGCCAATTCCTTTTGTCACAAACGAAAAGGGACCACGTAAGACTTCCTGTTAACAGACATTAATGGTTGAGAAACTTATGGTTTTCAGAACCGGACCGGTCAGCGAACTGGCCGTGCTACTGGTCAACCGGTCGAATCGGTCAGACTGGTCGGAAGAACCGGACGACGTCATAATTATTTAAAAAATTAAATAAAATACCAAAAACATTTAATAAAAAACAGTTTTTTATATCACAAGTCATATTCAAAGCAAGTCATAACATATAAGTTAAAAACCATAAAATCAAGTGAAACAAAATGATTCAAATCAACCACAACATAATATTTAAGGTAAAACATAATAAATAATAAATATAATTATATAACTATAATCAAACGAAGTCGTTTGATTTAATTTAAAAAAAAACAATCCCACGTGACTCAGAAATATAGAAGAGCATCCCAAAAGTCTAAAAAGTAAAAATATGAGAACAAAACAATCTCACATGACTAAGAAACATAGAAGAGCATCTCAACTGACTTCTATAAATAATAGAAGTAATTTGACATTCAAAATCATAGAGCCTTTTGGTGAGCACAGAACGAACTATTCTTTTGCTTTAATCGAGCTCGAATTTAAGGCTGCAATTGAGCTTCTAATTTTTTTTGAGTTCGAGCCTTTTTGAGTTCAAGTTTTAATATTATATTTCGAGTTCGAGTTGAACTTGATAATTTTTAGCTCGTGAGTTTTTTAGTCAAGGTGAGCTTACTTTTAAAGTTTTCGAGTTCGAGTCAAGCTCAACAATACTCGAGTTCGACTCGGCTTGTTTAACAAACGACGTCGTTTGATTTAATTTTTTTTAAAAAGAAAAAATTAAAACTGGCAGTTCATATCGGTTTTGTCGGTTTTCAGCCGGTTCACACCGGTTTTACCGGTTCACGGTCCGATCCTGTTCGAACGGTTCAAACCCGATTCAACGATTCCTTACGGTTCACTAGTAACGGTTTAACCGGGTAGAATGAACCGAACCAGGCAGCGGTTCTTGATTGAACTGGCCGGTCCGATTTTCAAAACACTGCGACGGACCGATAACAGAAGGGACCAAGTGTGCTTAATTTTTGACCAATGACCAAAGTCTTTAAGGGGAAATCCGCATGGCTTACCCAAAGTCGCGTGTAGGAATCTTCTAATTTCAAAAAATAGAACTTATTTTTTAAAATTTAACTTTGTTTTTCTATTCATTGAAAATTCTATAGTTTAAGAGAAAAATGTCAGAATACGGTGTCATTAGACCAACTGCATTTTATGACTTCAAATAGTTAAAAGAATTCATATCTATTTCACTTACGTAAGACTATGATCTGCTTTCTAATAATTTATTTTCGAGCAAGTCTACAAGTAATCAATAAGGGGGAAATTTAGAAGTACAAGAATGCACGAGGCATAGGTTTAGAATTACGTTCTAGACTATATTTTGGACCAAGTAAAATGAGTATAGAGAAGTTAATCCAACTATCAATGAACTAATGATTTTCCGGAATTTTCAGGGTAAGGCCTATGCACGTTTCACACTGTAACTTACATTTAACTAACAATTTAATCAATTAATTAACGATAAGATCGTACAATTGATGACCTGACCATGCAGAAACAGAACAATGTAACAAGCAACAAATCATTCCCGAATTGTCTCCTTCATGGAATTTTCAGCGATAGCCCAACAGAATGTCCTGAAAACTGCTTCCAGTAACTGCTTTGCTCTCAAAAGGTTTATTAATGTGAAAAGGCAAACGCCAATTATCTAGCATTACCACACACTGCAGTTTGTCTACATCCAAGGGCTTTTACCACTGCCCCAAATGTACTCGAGTAAAAACGACGACATTCTCGGAGATTTTTTCGTTTCTTATCACTTACCTTACATTCTGCCTCGTCTTAATCATCCGTTTCAGGGTTGCAAGCCAAAAGTTGCATTCATCCCACTCGTTTGTAGTAAGAAGAACCTGTTCCAGAAACATAGGTAAAAGAACATAGAAACCGCTTTTAGTTGCCACTTGCTAACCCCAACAATCACATGACTTGGCAAAACATTATGAACAATGCTTTTTCACCACCGTACCAGGATTTGTAGTGCTGTACCAAAATCATTGTTGTCCAATGCCTGGCAGAGCTGAATGAGCTTATCAGAAGCATTTTTTGAAACGTCTCCACTGTTGAGTTTGGCGAACAAGGCACCCATTTTCTTTGAATTGTCTTCTATTTCACGCTTCTTAGCCGGGTTTGCACGTGACCCTCCCTGTGCTTGAGAGGTCTCATTGTAAAGTCTTGTTAAGGTTGTGATTACGGGTTTCAGGCGGGCTACAAACCAACATGGTAAAATTATTTCCAGCAGTATCATATATAAAACATCTAGATTTCTTCATCTATTAGTTACCTCGTTTATGCGGAATATGCAAACTGAAAGGATAAATTACTAGCATAAAGAATAGAATTTTCACAATCATTTTTAAAATAATTCGTTTTGCTTTGTAAATGTTCTCATACAGGGTGATGGTGTAAAGATAAACATAACTCAAAATTTCAGTTAGTAAACCCTCATTCTGGAGTAGTCCAAGAAAGTTGGGAGGCCATATAGCATGGGGCTGGAAAGGAACCCCAAAATCCAATAAACAAGGATGGCATATTAACATTATTCAAAACCAAGAAACTAGCAATTACCAGGCAAATTTGAAGTGTCGGCAGTCTGCACAGTTGGTGGGGTGCAGCAGGTGCTGCAGCTGGTTGTATTGGTGCCAATTGTGTAGGGGTGCCAGATTGCATTGGGGTCATCCCAGGCCTTTGAAAGACCGTCACTGGCATAAATCCCCTAGATGTTGGGGTGGGAGCCACAAACGGGGGCATGTTGGGGGCAGAAACTGATCCCATTTGTGGTGGGACAGATGAAGGTGATCCAGTTCCTTGGCGTATGGGATAAGTAGGGTTGGCAGCACCCTGAAAGGCATGCAAAAATCAAATAGTATACCAGAAATAGAAGATTAACTATGGCATTGAACACGAATTAGATGTAGCTACATACAGGATGTAAATGAGAGCCCAAGGTAGTTAGCTGCTGGTATTTATCAGCATTTCTTAGACCAGGATGGTTTGCAGGAACAAAGGGTCTAACGGCAGGCTGAGTGGTTCCAGGTGATGGAGCAAAATTTACCTGGAAGGACAAAATATTTAGTCAAGCATCAACTTGATATAATTTCCATCGCCAAACCAATCATTAATCTTGTAACCAACGAGGAATGCAAACCATGAAAATAATTTCAATCTCAAATTCTTTTTCCATGAATAACCAATAATCCGGGGCTGAAAACATACAAGAGTTCAATTCACCTTCAGGTGTGGTGAATGACTCATCTTAAGAAACTGATCAAGTGTGCTCTCCCACAAGGAAGTACCACCAACATGAGCAATGACTAATGAATCAGCCATCTTATTTGCTGCAATGCATTGTGCAACTGCTCCCTTGCAGTCACCCACCACCAAAGCACGTTGAACAGCATCATCAAAAGATGAATCTGAACTTTCCTCCAGCCCGTATGATTCTTGAGGTGTTAAATCTGTGCTAGAAACTGTGCTTTCAACATGAAATTTATTTTCAGAAGTTGCAACTGGTGTATCAGCTTTGGGACTTGAAAGATTGTTTAAGAAATCCTCCCCGTTATCAGCAGCAAATAGGTTAGCTTCTTTCTGATGGCCCACCTTTTCCTCAAGGGTAATATCATTTACACTCTGAGAGAGGTCATCTTGTACAGTATCTTTTTCTTCTGTAGTCTGGCTAAAACCTAAATGGATGAGCAACTTCGTCCTAGCTGTCCCATCATCTTCAAACATCACGTTTAAGAAGCCCCATGTTTCTCGATCCTGTTGAGATCTGCACAGAATTCCCAATGAACATTGGTAGAAGTAGAAGAAACAATAACTGCTAACCTAAACACATCCAACTGCTAAGAAGTTTATTTTTAACAATATATATATATATATATATGTTATAGGAAAGATAACTTGGACAAGGTCACAGACAATCTATGCTCCAAAATAGAAAAATATCACAATTCAGAATGTAGTCTTTTGATCAAAGGTTAAGAAACATAAAGATCCAGAACAAGTGAGGAAGCATATTACTAATTAAGTCATTCCCCCACCTCTCCAGTAACCATATCCCAACAAATAGTTCGATTATCTTTGGCACATGTGAGCAAATAAGAGCTGTCAGAGGAAGACCATGCCATTGCAATTACACCTGCAACACCACATGCAATCAAATATTATAATGAACTTAAAATATTACAACTCTAGTTTAACTTACAACAATAAAAGACTTACAAAATAATGCATCAAACTTCTACATGAATAGGAGATGAATGTCATAAAAATTAACAGCAAATCACCTATACCATGCAACGCTCAAAGTCCTTACTCTATCTGGGTTCACTAATACCATTTTGATTAAGGGGCACCAAATCAATCTCAAAGATCTATTTTCAATCTGACTTTAGCAAGCTAATTGTTTACATCTTATATTCTCGTATTACATGGTACAGTATCAGGTTAAGCTGAAAGAGCATATAATTTTCTAATCAAGTACAGCCAATGTAAAGAAGGTAAAATATCAACAAGTTCTTGAAATGTTGCATCTACTTCTAAAGCATTGATACCTTTTGTGTGCCCTACAAACTCTTTCACTGGTGACATTATATTCCGCATATCCCAAAGCTGCTAACAGAAATACCAGAAATTAACAAATTCCAAACAAATAGTAATCCACGTTCCACATTTGAAGCAACATCAAAAGATTCTTACCCTTAAAGTGGGTGAATCATCTTCATCTAAAGCAACAAGAAGTTGAGTGGCAACATCAGGATGCCACTGCAAAACAGAACATGGCCTTCTAACTGAATCTGCAAAACTGTAGAGTGAAAAAAAATTAGGTAAGAGATGAGGTGGGTCAGGATGGAAATAAAATGAAGAAACAACAAGAAAAAATTTCACTTGGTCAATAACATGAACGTTACCTTATCAATGGGCTTCCTCAAGTCCAAAACAACTGGAAAGTTATGAATATACACATTATCTCCCCAGCTAAACTTAAATGACAATACAATAAGTCTAGAGTCCATTAATTTCCTCTCCAGTTGTTCCATTATAAGAAGTCGAGGCCAGTATATATGGAACCTTACTATTCCAAGACAGAAATGATATTTCACCTTGAGTGGCAGAACCACTACCCCGCATGATGACCATGAAAAAACTATGCCAGATAGCTCGACAGTCCATATATTGCCCTTTTTCTTTCTCATTGGGGGGAGGGGGGATTCTAACATAACCTATTGTATAGGTTGAACATGAACAGAAATAAGCATTTACACAGAAGGAAAAGGCATTCAGTGGAACAACAATGGTGTGAAATGTGTTAATCCTAATTCTGTACACAGCTCAGACACCAAACATATAGATGAAAGAGCTTTACAATTCAAAAGTTACAAATAATTGCTCCAGACCTTAAGAGGTGGACAATGAGATGGTTGTGCAGGTGCTGACAAATCCCAGATGCAGATTTCACCATCGTCGGCCCCAGATGCTAGCAAGTTTGGAGCAATAATCTTTTTTAGATAAAACGCGCATTAATCCAAAAATGACGTAGAAAAATAATAATGAAAGGGATATAAACGAGTTTATTGTCTTAAGATTATTGACTGAAGTAATAATCTCAGACGAAATCAAACATAAGAAAATTAAACAAATAAGCTAAACTTCATAACGTAAATCAAAATTAAATATAAAAGAAAAATACTCATTTAATTTGATCAGTTAATATCGAAATCAGTTGAAGTCTATCGCTACCCTAACATGTTTACTCACTATTTATAGGGGATTTTCAAAAAGAGATTTAATCCAACTAGATATCTTTTAACATTCAACATTAAACAAATAACGATATTTTTTAATTTGAAATATTCAAAAGATAAAACTCTTTTTACCATTCAAACTTAAATAGAATTATTTTAATTTAAAATATACAAAAGTATATAATTATTTTTAATATTCAAAGTTAAAAAGAACAAATATTTTTTTAAATTGACATATTCAATCATCTAGAAAAAACAAAGATTATAAAAGAGTAGATAAAAGGATTAAATCGGCCCCGTTAACAATCGTGTTAACCATAAATATTTTCTTTTTCCTCTGATTCTTAGTCTCTAATAAAATACAACATGATTGAAATTAACCAAAACAATCAGTGCTCATGTAGCCTGCTAAAGGCAATGAACCAGCACTATAATCCCAAGTCCCCATCCAAACCAACATCATACACTCTATTTCCCTATTCTTTCACTACATGTCCAATTTAATCGAAAGTTAAAGTGAACTAGATTAAATCAACCATTACGTACATTATGTCGTTAGATTATATATATATGTCCTATTCTTTCGAAATCGGATTCGAAAGCTATCACGAAATTGAAGTCGAAAGCAGGATGATCACCGGAGGTAAACATGAGTATTCGCTGAAGAATTGTGTGGCATTGGCTCATGTTGTCTGGTTTTGTCATCGGTGCCTGAACTTTCTTTTTAGTGCATTTCAAAAACTATGTTGGCAAAAACATATGTTGTCACAGTTCTTTTTTTTAAATAAATGAAATACGAAAATGGATACCAATAATAATTATATAAGACTAAAGGTAATTATCTTTTTAAAAAAGACTAAAGGTAATTCCGTAACTAAATAGCATTTTACAATTAAACCGTTTTATAAACATGCATTTTAGTTAGAAAGATGGTTAAGCAAATATTTTTGGTTGCCTGCCATAAGCTCATCTCAATATGCATACACGTTAAGTAATTCAACAAAACTGCCACTGGAAAAGAAACTTTTTAAACGCAAATTTTACATCATAAAGGGATCGCTTACTACTTGTAGAAAAAGCTGCATCAGCAATGAAGTACTACTATGTTCTGTTCTATTCCTTGGCATCAGCATAAGATTGTGGGGGCAGCTTTACTATACTTAGTTGGCCTCCATCCTTGTTAGCAACCGTTGCCGCTTTTATCTCGTTGCAATGATTTATGAACTTGGTCAGCTCCTGCTCTCATACATATTAAAATATTGTATGTTAAAATGTATAATGTTTTCAAGGAGCAATTGTTATTATTTTTAATGCCAAAGAAAGCCCGTCTTCAATGGAAAATGGTTCTCACACATCCGATCTCGTATGCCTAATCTCGAATTTGGGCATCCTAGCGTTGTCAAGATGTTCACCCTAAGCAGGCAATAGACGAGAAAAAAAGCCCGACCAACCATTGCAGTTGCTTTACAACTAAGGAGTAATACCAGACTCTACACTTATAAATATTTGGGTATAGGATTATAGACTTTGGACTATAAGAAAACCATGTATATTGACTAATAGAATAATTCTGTTTTCTATGTATAAACATGAATAAAAAAGCTCATGTATATACATACAAGTATCTAGTGCCACACAGAGCATCCCAACAAGTAGGCTCGACACAAGCTCTCTGAATCAACACCAAAACTCTCTCATGAATACAAGAACTCATGTATATACAATTATACATATAAGTTTCAATAGCCACACCTTGCCTCGCCTGGAGTCAACAACAAGTAGGCTCGAAACAAATTCTCTAAATAAACACCAAGACTCTCAATGAATTCAGTTTCACTCAAGTTAAAGCTCCACGGCATAGAGGTCGAGGCTGCCCCGGATTAAAATAAGCATGCAATATCAAACGGATACAAGTTCTCTGAATCAACACCAAAACTCTCTCATGAAATACAAAAACTCATGTATATACAATTATATATGTAAGTTTCTATAGCCACACCTTGCCTCGCCTGGTGTCAATAACAAGTAGGCTCGAAACAAATTCTCTAAATCAACACCAAGAATCTCAATGAATTCAGTTTCACTCAAGTTAAAGCTCCAGAGCAGAGAGGTCGAGGCCGCCCCGGATTAAAATAAGCATGCAATTTCAAACGGATAGGTCAAAGCAATTAACCCCAAGGTTCACTAATAAACTAAACTAATGCATGCTAACTAATTAACCTAATGCGACCTTGAAGCTATCGGGGAGAACAAAAAATGGACCCAGTAATATCATATTCAGCTGTTATACCTCCCTTAAGCAGTCCCTTAAGCAGCTCATAAGAAGCTAATCATGAAAAAAAAAAAATCAAACCAAAATTTTCAAAGAAAAGACTAAAGAGATAGATTTAGAAACTCTACTCGATCAGCGTCCATCTCTTTGGTTTGCTTGGATGGCTTAACGACCCTCCTACCTGCAAAGAATCAAATTTAAAATAAATAAATGCACATTTGGAACCAATACATTTATTTATACATAAAGCTTTTAAGAAAAGAAAAAAGGAGAGACCTTTGCGAATGTGAGGAAGTTTTCCGTGGCGACTAGGAGGGATTGTTTTCTGCTTCTTTTTCCCTTTGAACAAATCCCCTTTCTGCGTCATCTTCTTATTCTTCCTTTCCCTGCAACTCGAATGTTAGGGTTGTTTTTTTTTACAGCTTTTTGTTTCTTTTAAGCGGTGTCGTAGGGTTTTGTTAACGGGTCTGAGGACCCATTTTAAGTGTATATTAAACTACAGCCCTAACTTTAAATAGTCTGGGCTTATAAGGCTGCGTCGAACGCATGAACCACTATATATGAGTAAGCACTAGGTTGATTCGAATCGTACAAAGAAATGATTAGCAGTGCACTCAAACAACTTGAAAAATGATTAATAAAAAATAATTAACAAAATGTTATTGCTGGTATTGAAAAATATCACCACCACCGTTAATATAAAAACACATAACAGCAATAATAATAGTAATAATTCGTTAACAAACTGATATTATCATAATTTAATTACGAATTATTATCTACAAATTTTAATTAATTTTGTTGATTTGAACACAAGTTACTAAATGATAGAAAGCATCGGTCCTTTGGACAGATATTCTAAGTCAGAGAATGTTGTGATTATGAACCCTTAGAAAATTGGGTGCACTAACCGTTAATTAGAATGAATCTCAAGTCATATTTTTATGGATGAGATCGATTACAATTTCATATGTTAACATTTTAAGTACTATTAGCATCTGTGGTGTGATTCCCACCCTCCCTCATTTCGTCTCCAAATCCACCACTGAAACATGGATTCATTGCCTTCATTCTATTTTTGTCTTGTTGATGTTGGTAAGGGATCGATCAAACTGTTGGATCCAAACCCATTGTGTCTGTCCAATTCAACCTCATTTTTTCATCGTCGTCTTCGAAGTTATGTACATTTAGTCATAAGATTGCTTCCGGAATGCCAAGCTTGCTCTTAAGATATAATTGCGTCGGAACATCACATTTTTGGCGACCCGAGACCGTGTCCAACTGTGTCAAAGTTAATGGCCCCGTCAATGCTAGCAGAGGCTCCAGCAATAAACTTTTGTTCTTTCTTATCTCCTCCAATAAAGCTTTACTTGTGTCGATACCCGCAAGGTATCCTCCATGCACATAGCCATTGAATCTCTCACTTGTGTGTTCACCGGTGAAGAATATGCGTCCAACTGTGGCCTGGAAACTCAATGATTGTTTCATATAGAATGTGAAAACACAAAAATGGATGGTGAAAATGATACGAGTCAGTTACCTTGATATCATTAACGACTTGGTTATTGGAGATTATGGGGTAGTTGCTGTAGCTGCCACGCTGGAACCTGTTGTTCCACCAGCGTGGAACGAGGATGTCAGTGGCGGTAGGTATTTCGGGCCCAAACATGTCCCTCAGCACACCCATGGCTTCTTTTAATGTATCTTCATCGGATTGAGCTTCCACACGTTTTGATTCACCATTGGTTAATGTTACCACCAAGATACTCGAACCGGGGTATGCATTCTCCATGTGCTGATCACAATAGCAAGATGAATTCAAGTGAGTGGTCGTTAGAAAAATGAATTGATGATACAATCTTCCATATGAGATGCCTAAAGAAAAAACCAAGTAAAATCAAACTAGAAAAGCTCATTTATGATTTGTGTAACTAGGTATAAAACTATATTATCAAATGTCTTCCTCATCAATCACTAATTGATTTAACGGTATGAAGTGTTAAATGTTGTAAACAATGTCCAAGATTCAAATGTGACACTGTGAATGGTACAAGTTAAATTGAGAAAATCATGCACATAAGATATCTATACAATATCCAAATCCATATTAGTCAACCGATAATCATATATCATATGGGAATACCAAAAAAGTATACATTTATTTCTCTCCATGAAAACAGAAACAAAGCAGTTAATGTCTGGTTCCCACAATGCAACCATTTCAGAGCTCCATGAAAATGAAAAAAATAGTGTTATTATATATAACATAAAGGAGAAACCGTTATGTGGTGGTAGTTGGTAACATCTACATTGAAAAATAACTATTACGTTGTCTTTTAGCTGAAGAAGCTGTCCACAGAATCTGATTTAAGGTCGTGTTCATGTCTGGTAATACGGAGTAGCATTGTCATATTATAACAAGTCTATATAGTATTAGTCAACATCAACATATCATGTAGGTAGCTAGGTTGTTAAAATGTAAATTATAGTTCCTAACAGGTAAAGACAACCAACAAAGGTCAACCACCGCCCTGTTTTACAGATTAACTTGTTGGATTCTGTATTTTATCAGTCATTCAAAATGGCAAGAAAAAAGAGGATTGAATTTTCCTTATGAGGCAGAAACATTATTCAAAAAGGAAGCAAGGACTAAACCTGCCAAAACGTGTAATAGCCTCTACGGTCGTGAGCATAGATGAAGAACTCTTTGTCAGGTCCACATGGCCAGAACTTATACGGGAACTTGAGGAAGATCTTAGTGTATACCATCACATCACATTTCTCAATGGCCTCTGTTTTCCACCTCTGTTATTGTCATTAAGATTTTAGACGATTAAGCAATATCTAAAATGTTCCTTTCAAAACTCATTAATTGTTCATAGAAATTCATACAAGGCAATGGTATGCAACCACGTGAAAATGTGCATGTAAAGTCTCTCACTTTGGCTCCCAGTCCAATAGAGCTGACCGCTTGGCTGATTTCTAGATAATTATTATTTCAACTTAACCTCCAATTAAATTGGCTTTAAAATTTCAATTCCCAAAGCCAATATTTAAATCTAGGGCACTATACTCCTCAAACTATGACCCTCATTCTAATTTGATCTCTAAACTTTTGGACATTTCAATTTCATCCCAAACTATGATTTTCATTCTAATTTGTTCTCTGACCTTTTAAAAATTCCAATTTCATCCCAAAATTATGAACCTCATTCTATGTTGGTCCTTAAAATTTTGAATGTTCTAATTTCACCCCCAAACTTTTGAATGATTTATGGGGACATTGTTGGAATGCTCAAAAGTTTGGGGACCAAGCCAGAATGAGGGTCATAATTTAGTGATGAATTTAGAATATTCAAAATTTTGGGAATTAATTTAGAACGTGAATTGTAGTTTGCGATGAAATTGAAATTTTTAGAAGTATAGGAATCAAGTTATAATAAAAGTTATTGTTTGGAGAGGTATAGTGCAATTAACTCATTAAAAATACCATTAAGTTATCTATTTTTTTTTTACAATAGAACTTTCAAAATTTACAAAATAAATATTAAACTTCAATTTTCTTACAAAATGGACACCATGACATTAATGATTGTTAATTTCTATTGAAGAAATGATATATCACATTAAAAATAATGAGTGAATAAGATAATTTAATAACACTTTTAATTAAACCCTTAAATCTATGCTACTCGAAAATTTTATTTTACGTAAAATTTTAAGTCTGACATATGAAAATAGAAATATGATTTTAAAACTCTTTCAGATATAAAAGAAAATTAAACAAATAAACATGTATACGGTACTCGCATGAATATAAATAACATATATCTAAGTCTTCAAAATATATAAAAAAGTGGAAAATGAATAAAGAAATAAGATACGTACGGCAAGGGAGGCCTGAAGCAAATGAGGTCGCTTTGGAGAACACCAATGCTAGCGGACAAAATGACGTAGTTGGCTTCGTAAACGCAACCATCCTCTGTTTTCACCGTAACGCCGTTCCTCGAGTGCTGTAATTCCCTGACAACCTGCCCCAAATCCATGCACAAAAGAAAACATAATAAGCATCCTAATAACTACACAAATTTTGAGAACAGTTTTACCGAAATGTTTCTGAAAACAATTGTTTGTAGCAGAACTCCAAGGCAACAGCACCCAACAAAGAAGTCTCACAAACATCTGACGAGTCAAAGCAAGAAAACCCGTGCATCAAATACATACAGTTTCCAAAATGCACCGTGAATAGTTGGAAAAGGGCTGATTTTTAGTGCCATCAAGGTGGTAAAGACGACAACATTTTCCAAAATGCAGAAAATGACAGAAACTTCCTATTTGTATGTTCTTATGTGAGTGTTTGATAAGACTTTTCAACTAGTGAGTGTTATTCTATGGCTATTGTGGCAAGCAGAGGCAAAATTTGGGGCCTACGGTTGATGATAGTGATGTAAAAAGTGCCTAAAAAGTTTTAAAGACAGCTGAATTTCATGGCTACATACGATTGAAATAAGACATGCCAATTCAATAAGTAATTATGTGGTATGATAGTGTAATTTAAAATTAAGAAAACATAAAAATAGGTATAACTAAAAATATAATATTTTGAATTTGATATAATCTAAAATGTTATTTTTCTACTATTTTTAATTGAATATAAAATATTACGAAGAAGACAACACATTCAATTGTCAATCAAAAATAGGAAAAATATAACATTTTAAGTTACGTCATACTTAAAATATTATATTTTTTATCTCATTTTCAATTGTGCTTATTTTCATCATTTTTTAATCTTAAATTAAATTATCATTTATTAAACTTTCCCTAATTTAATAGTCTCCGCGCTTTTGTATCATTCAAATGGAACCAAATTGTTAAAGGGGAACAAACCCAACATAGTTTCCTATTTCCAAACAATGTTATTACAGTGATGGAAAACGAGTTTCACTTATGAACCAAGATAACAAACAACCACAAAAAAATTCAGTCTTTCCAGCAAGGAAATTTAATATTAACATAATTAGCGGTAGAGACTGGTGAGCACAATAGCACTAAATAGAAGAAAGGGGACCCATAGAAGAAAAAAAATGTAAAATAAACGGGGTTGAAATAGCTTTCAGTAAACGTCATTATCTGCAAATTCCCAAAAGTGGGTCAATCAATCTTAAGCATCAAAGGAAAGCAGTGCATGCATATAAAACAGAGGTTCGGGTTTTATTTGCCCCGTCTCTATGTTTTATCCCACGATTGAGTGGCAAAAAAAAAAACAAGGGAAACCACATAGTATGGCTGAAAACACGATGAAAAAAGCAAAAACACATTGACAGGTGAAGCAAAAGAAACCAAAGCGATGGTAGTTTATACCTTGTTTAGTTTAAGGCGATTATCCAGGATTTCCCCCTCCGATGTAAATAGAAAATCCTCAGCCATTTTATACAGTAAATAATCATAACCCCTATCATCTGCCACCAAAAATTCTCTTTCCCCAAAATCTGCGTATGTTGATATTGGTTCCACCTCTGTTATAATAATAATAATCAAAACATAGATATAAGGTAAAAATCTAAGGCTTGTTCCATGTGACTTTTTCTTCATTAGCATTTCCATTGCTTGACTTTTCTTAGCATCCAAACAGGGAAAAACAAAAATTAATCGTGAAACTTGCCTGCCATCTCGAAATCGTGTAATATGAAGTCAATTGCGAGCTCTATCGGTGTCTTCGGTGTTCTACAAAAGCATCCACCAATAAATTCACTAACACACCGAAAAGAGAAAAATAATAATTAAATAATTATGAAATTTCCAGATGGACTTCTTACAAAGGTGACTCGGCTCCATTGGGAATAGTCTCCTCGACACAATTTGACTCAAGGTCCCTCAGTCTCTGTAGCGCCGAGTCCACCGCTTTTTTGTACGAGTCAGCGGCGATTCCACTCGGAAATATCTTCCCGCTGCAACTTATTCATAAAAATATTCAATTTTAACACGGCTATTATTCAGACGAAAACATTTTTGTTATAATTCGTTAAATTTCAAAGCTCAACCATCCACCGCCAAATGAAGTAGTAGAAAATTTGCGGTTTTTTGGATTCTGACCTCTGATCATAGATGTTATAGCGAGCATTACTGTAGTCGGAGAAGCATGTTCGGAGGCCAAATTTAGCCGCGATCTCCCAAACGGGATTTGACGATTTACCGCCTACACCGGCGATCCAACCCGCTCCGAGCTCCACTGACACGCCTCCGAAACTTTCTTTCCTGATTCTACCGCCAATCCTATCGGACGCTTCCAGAATCAGCAAATCCGCAATTCCGTTCTCGGCCAAAGCCTTCGCCGCCGATATACCTAACCAGGATTTCAAGATTCAATAGTTAAAAAAAATATAATCCCTCGTCGAGAACAATCTTTTCAACTCAATAACTCATAATAACACGCGTTATACATCACTATATTTGTTCGTTCAAAACATTTATAAATGCATTATTTTCTTAGATTGTTTACTTTTACTGACCGGATACGCCGGCGCCGATGATGATGACGGCGGAGCGAGAAGCGGAGTCCATTGAGAAAGAGAGAAACGGAGTGTGTGCTTTGTCTGTATTTGAATTTTGTTAAAGGCTGTTAAGTCCGTTAGCGAGAGACAGACGCAGAAATAGCGGGTGTTTGTTTATAAAGGCAATTTTTCTCCATATTTTATAGCAATTTTCCTTTAACAACTTCTTTCTATTTCCTTAAAAATATAACTTTCCACTTAAATTATATTTTCAGTTTATTTTGTTATTTTAATTTGGACTGGCGGGGGAAAGAGGCAACCGAAACAATCGATGCAGCCATGCCTAATTTAGTAGTCGTAATTAATCTAATATATTGTGTGATAAATATAATTTCTTTGAAATTTTATTTTTATAAATTATTAAAAATATAATTTCTTTGAAATTTGTCCACTAAAAGTTTAATCTCCTATAAGAACACGTCCTCTTAATTTAATTTTTATAAATCAAATTAGTTAAACTTCGATTATTAATTTTAATCATAAATCAAGTTTAAATATCACTATATTTTAGTGGTATTTACATTAAATCATTCTGAAATTTGTTCATAGTCGTCACTAAAATAGTGTTGAGAACATAAATTGAATAGTGGTAATAAAACTAAAAATCATATACAGATGGGTAGGGGTTAGAGTAACTGTGAGCGGAATCTATATTCCCACAATTTCAGCGGAAAAATCCGAAGGTAAAACCCCACCGATTATTGGTGTGCCCACATATGAAATCAAATCATGTCGGTCAATCGACAAACAGCAAATATCAATTTTATAAAGTAAAGGAAGTAAAATCGTCCCAAAATTAAATAAAAATTTATCAACCGATTGATTCAAGTGGTAAGTAGGTTGATATCGTTTAAGTAATTTCGAATTCGAGTTTCGTGTATACAAAAAATTTCAGTTGAAAAACTCATCCACTAAAATCAGATGTATAATGTGGGTCGTCTAAATTTGTTCATAGGTATTGACTTTAATAATCAAATTCGTTAAATGTTATGTAGTTAATATATGCATATGTATTAACATGTTTCGATTAGCAATGCTTTATCACCCTAAATATATGTTCATATTTGTATATCTTGATATGCCTCTTGAAATTTACGAATATCTGATAATACGCACACCCATGTTGATGGAAATCCCATGATACATTGCTTAAATTGAAGGTTACTCCATACATTCCATAAGACAAGGAAGTCCTGGCCGGCCGCCGACACCACTAAATGTTTTACCATTATGACTTACATTTATCTCATAACTATGTGTGTATTAAAATATTTACTAATAACAATACAAAATAATTATAATGAGAACTAAAAATATCTTTGGATTTTCTCTCTCTCTCTCTCTTTCTTTAGATGTTGTTAGGTTATTTTCTTTTATCTTTGTGATCGACGGTAACTCTAATTTTGGTATTAATCACCGATCGCCAATATTCATTGTTTTTCATTTGTTTTATTATATCATTTTTTATTTTTTATTTTTAATAATTTTATCTTTATGACACACGTCTCCTTCTACCTTTATGACACGTTTTTCTTTGACTTTATAACACATTTTCTTTTACTGTTATTTTTGTTTATCATTTTTTTGGGTTGAATTTGACATCGTCACACCTAATAAAGATAATGTTTTATTTGTTATCATGTTAATCTTCCATACTTTGGATCATCATATTGGATTTGAATATGCTATTTGCGTTCGCGGATAGTATTTTCATGTCGCTTATTCTGATTTGCGATTTGTTAGTGTCTTTCAATAGCTTCATCCCCTTTTGTGGTTTGTTTTTCGATATGATCACATTTATTTGTATCTACCTTTTTTATCCCTGTTTATTTGGTTATTTTTTATTTTATTTTTACCTTTTCCTTATATGATCTCAAGTGGCTAGTTTTTCGTGTTTAGGAAAATATTTTTATTATGTGTTTAGTTTACGATTGTGATTGTAAACTTTTATTATAATTTAAATATATTTTATTTTTAATAAAAATCAACGGCTTCTATAAAAAATATCTTTGGATCAAAATAAATTTATACAAAGTGTTTAAAGATTTTTATTTATTTGGTCAAAGTAAGTGTTTAAAAATTTTACTTTATTCATCTAGATATATAAAATGTTTTTTTGTTGAAATAGATACTTAAAATATAATATTTTTTATCTAAATTCTTAAAGTAATTTATAATCAATGTCATATGTCAATTTTCGGGGACCTAAATGAAAAATATATATACTTTAAGTATTTAGGTACAAATTGGTACTTTTACGTACTTATAATAAAAATTTAAATTCTTAAATAAAAATATATATACTTTAGATATATAATTTTACAATAAATCATTTACATATATCAACTTATTTTCTATATTTCATTTCTTTTTCAACATTGAAATTAACTATTTAACTACTTTTTTAAAATTGATGATCACGAGTAATTTTATTGGGTAGGGAGAAAATATAACAAAATGTTAAGAAGATTATGCATAATTAGAGTAGATTATATTACATTAACCACTCATTTGCTTTTAATCATCAAAATATATAAATTAACCACTAAAGAATAAAATACAATCATATAAGAAAATAGTTGAAAAACAATCAAACAAAGTATAAAACAAACATAACTATCGACATTGATAGATAAATATCATCAATAAAGACATAAAAAAATGTAACAATGACGATACATTGAGAAATTAACTTTATCACATTTAAACCACCACCTATCTTTAAAGATTACGAGTACCTATCAATAAAAGAAACATAACCCGAAGGTCCAAAAATAAGATGAGTCAGTAAAATAACCAAATAACGTCAAGTAAAAGGACGTCTTACATCTAACCTTAAAAGAAGTACTATAAAAACGGATGAAATCATCCACCATACTCATATAAAAAAGAAGAGATTAATTAAACAGAAACTTGTACAAAATTTATGCACAGATTACATTTCAAATGAGCCCTAGGTAGTTAACGAGCAGAAACCATATTGTATAATCAGGGCAGTCCAATGGCACTAAGACAAACGTAATTATTATAACATAAATAATTAATGATGGAGGATCAAAGATTTTGTTAGATATAATGGACTCACATGACAATCTGAATAATGTTTGTATTATCCAAGTGGGGCTCTACTTATAACCTGCGAGGAGTTTAATTAGCTATAGCATAAGAATATTTGCAAGTTAAAAATAGCTGTTTCCACAAACAAACAGTAATACGTAGGTGCAGCTAGGTGAAGGTGATCATATATAAAATGTTGTGTCGTGTCCATCCATGTCTATTGCCTAACATGACATTTTACCAACTTTATGAATTTTGGGATTTTTGAAGAGTTCTCTTATCATGTTAAATGCTAGCTGAAGTTAGGTACTGACGTCTTGGACGTGATTAGGGGTGGATATTATATTCGAATTTGATAGGTTTAACTTGATTCGATATAATTTTACAAGATCGAGTCCTTTTTATTTCTAAAAACCGAATTTGAGGCAAGACATGTCGGATCGAATTTTGAAATAATGATAATTGAGTTTGGGTTGAAATCAAATTTAGAGTAAATCCGACTCAGAATACTTTACTGTAAAATAAGTTTTTTTTTTTACTTTTAGTTCTTCAAAATTTCCTTCTTCACTCCCTCAAATTCGATCATCCGTCTAAAATCATCTTGAATATGAATATGTTTCATCGGAAAATATCTTGATGTCCACAAATCAAACATGTTTGTCTCCTTTGTTTCTAATCTCTTTTGTCCATCATTAGATCGGATCGAAATAAAATTATAACATTTTCTTCTCCAATCAAAGTCTATTCTCTGTTATGATTGTCGAAAATAACCCTCGATCGTCGGAAACCGCCATACCATAAAGATGATTTTTTTCTTTTTTTCTCTCTCATTCGTTCTCTCTCTCTCTTTAAGATTTCTTTTCTTTTTAACTTTTTTTCAGGTATTTTGTTTTTTTTATAAAAATTTATTTTTTATTAAGTAAATTTAAAGTTTGAAAGGTTGATGTCGAGTCGAGTAGGATAAGGATGAATTTTGATCTCAAATTTTTGATAGATTTTGAAATAAATAATACTCTTCTAAAATTGGATTGGATCATATCGGAATTTATTTGAACCGTTGGACACATCTTAACCATGGGTCAAGACAGAAGCATAAGCATGACGATGGGATTGGGCGGTGGTGTAGCCGAGACGACGAGTCTCCTAAATTGTATGTGATTTCCACAAAACAGGGAAAAGGGACCAAACATTATTGGGAGTCGAAAGTAGTGTGAACATGTTGCCAACAAAGGTTAAAAAAAGAAGAAGCAACCATCCATAGGGAAAATGTGTATGTCCTGATTCAGACATGACACCGTATCCGAACAGATTTGATTGAGCAAATATACATTATTCAATATGGTCCTTAAAACACTGCCGTTTTTAAGTACCCACAAAACCCTTCCAAAAATTATTAAACAAAATGGGAATCAGAGTTGTTATCACACCCAATCATATACATGAATGTGCCACCCCAACCAATCATAAATGTCACATATCTAAAGTTACACCTAAAACGACCAATTGTACCACGACATGAAAAACTACTGTCTGCCTCTTACTTATATATCTATTATATTAGGATGTGGGTTTTGATTGATTAATTCACCAACTAATCGATTAGTGCTTGTAATTTTCCAAAAGTACTCTTCTTTTGTGTTAATTTCAACAACGCTCATCATATATATATATATATATATTAGATAATTCAAGATTAAACCACAATTCTCTTCAACTGATCATATATGACGTCGAACAACACCTTCACAAGACTAATCTATGAACAACACCTCCATGCAATTTCGCAATTAAAACCCTAAAAAATACTTAAGAATGTATAATCTCAAACGTTTGATATCCTTTGAGAAGTCACAACCTCTTGCCACGACCTCTGACTAGTTTATGTGACCTACCAAAGCTAAATTTATTGTCAGTGGACCGTGTATCCTAATTTTGTCAACTTACAATTTAGCCATCATAACTCTACGCCTGATATCAACACTAATGGTCACTATAAAAT